AAGAAACATTTATTGATTCACGTGGAGAAATGTAGTTTTCTGCTGCTCACTTCCAGATTACAGGTTAGCTATAGATGCAACATGAAAACATGAAGTGTGTGTTTGTGTGTGTGTGTGTGTGTGTGTGTTTATTGAGTACCTGATTCAGCTCCATGTTGATCTCATCAATTCTCCTCTTGGCCATCTCCACCTCCTCAGTCAGTTCCTCCTCCATGCGCTTCTGCTCATCAAGTGACTGCCTGAGGGGTAACAGGACAAAAGAGTGTGAATGAAGGCATATAATGCAGAGACCTTAAAAAGCAATAAGCTGAACACAGCACTGTACAAACAATGAAAAAATGAGAACAGCATACCTGCTGGTAGAAATGTAATCCTCTAATTTCTCTATACGTTTCTGGTTTTCCTCAATTTCTCGGATCTTCTGTTTGATTTTAGCCTGGAAAGATATAAGAAAATATAAGGTTACGGTTGCATTCATATCAGTTAAAATGTATTCTGAAGAAGAAGATATGCTTTATTAATCCCCTAGGGGAAATTGTTTGTATTTTGTGGTCTGTGGGACTTGAACCGGCGACCCTCCGGTTCCCAAGCCAAGACCCTACACACTGAACTACTGTCATTAACTTATTTACCTCTGTTTCCACTTTCTTCCTCTCCTCCAAGTCAAGGCGGTCCTGGTCGGCTTTCTGGTCGCGGTTGAACTTCTCTAGCTCCTGTGCGAGGGTGGCAGCACGTTTACTGGCCTCCTCCTTCAGACGATGGTACTGCTTGACCTGTGGGGGAGAGAGAGAAACGTCATGTAAAGTGAGTCACGTAAAGAAATGTATATAAAATCAATCTGATACCATAACATCAAAAGAAACTTGAGATGCAATTCACACACACATCAAAGCCTGGCATTTCCATGTGCTAGCTTTCTAATTATACCATCTTAATGTCAAACCACTGAATGAATTTTGAGAAGCCAAGACTGCCTACGCAAAAAAACACAGTTGTATTGAACACTACACACTCAATTAGCACGTTAAGATATTTTTACTGTAATCTTAATATAGTATATTGCTGCCTGAAGAATTACCATATAGTGAAATAGGTTTGAGGGTAAATGTACATTTATATTTTTTTACATACGAGGTCCAGTATTCAGTTGTCTCTTAGTTTGGACAGCACTTGATTTGATACGTGATTGATTGATGTTGATGTTTCCTATGAGCCCTGCAAACATTTTAAAACGTCAATATCATAGACGATGAAGTTAATTTAACTGTGGGAGGCCAAAATAGTGATTGCGATAATTATATGATTAATTGTGCAGCCAAATAAAATCCTGTAAATACTAAACTATTTCAAATGAAATGTGTACAACATTCTAACATATCAGACCTGGTTTTCCTCCAGGGTGAGGTCCTGGCCCTGGCTCTGCGCCTCCTCCTCCATGCGCTCCTCAAATTCTTGCTTGGCCAACTCCACTGCCTTCATCTCTTTATCCAGCTCATCCATGTCCCCCTTGCGTTTTTTGTACATCTTCTGGGCATTTTGCAATGATTTGCGCGCCGCCTCAAGTTTCTTGATCTTGTGTGAGGTGTTCTCTTTGGCCTTGATGTACTGCGGCCTTTTTTGGTTCAACTCGGAGTCTTTCTCTCTGTAGGCAGAGTCAAGTGATTAACAAAGCCCTAGGCTTTAAATGGTGTTAGTTATACAATTAGTAAATAAGTGAGCTGTGAGATCATGTAATTGTCACTTACTTAATTTCTTTTTCAATGGTTTGTTGTTCCCTCATCAGCCTGCCCAGCTCCTTCTTCTTGTCCTTCAGCTCCTCCTCCACATGGTCCATCTTTTTACGGTCCTTATCAATCTCCTTGTTCCGCTGACCCAACTCTTTGTTCAGCTTCTCAATCTCAGTCTCGTTGTGGTAGAGCTTGAAGAGCTGCAACTGAACACTAGCCCTGGCAACTTCGTCTTTCAGACGCTGGTAACGCTCAGCCTGGTGGAAGAATGGGAGGAGAGAGATGAGATAAAGTACATTCTATGTGTTTTGGGTACTGATGGACATAATATAACTAGGAAAGCGTAGAAATCTCTTTTTCAAAATAAGCAGCAATAGTAAACTACATTTAGTTGTCTCAGTACAATGACAATAAAGTTGTATCTAAAGACAGATAACACAAATATGTGGAACAATCAACATAATAATACAAAACTAATCCAAAGCATATATTAATAACTAGCCCTTACTGTTGGTCAAAATCCTCTCACAGGATAACACACTTTAAAATCAAGGGTCAAAAGTTAGATGAAACCAATTTCTAATCTAAGAAGGACACAAATACATAGAGTAGAAGTGACTGTAATTCCAGAGATAACATATTTATGTTTAGACTGAACAAAAGGACATACCTCCTCTTTCTCTTGCTTGGCTTCTTTGCGCTCGGCAGCAATGTTTTTCTTACGATGGTAATTGAACTGCGTGTCCTCCTCTGCTTTCACCATCTCCTTCTTCCTGCGGTCGTACTCCTGGGCCAGCTCTCCAGAACGTGAGATTTCCTCAAACAGAGCTGTACGCTCCTTAGGGTTCTTCATGGCAATAGACTCTACAGCTCCCTGGGGGCAGAATAGGCAGGGAATAAAACTGTAGTCAACAACGGCAAATACCATTTTACCAAATATCAATAACACACCATAAAAAATTATATTTTCGGCCTTGGCTCTAATTGGCCGAATCACATTCAGAGTTGTGATACCCAGTGAAGCCAAATGCATGGCTACATTAAGCACATCCCAAAAGTTACTGGAATAAAAGAAAAGAAAAAAGCTTGCTTGTCATAAGAATTACAAAAAATTTAAATTGAATCATTATTGATTCATATTTTAATGAAAGATAAACCTATGGCTCAGTACAGAAACTTTATGAAAGAACACCAATTAATACATTTCTCTTAAAAAATATTTTTAGGATTTCTACCTGAAAGACCAAGAAGTTCCTGGCCTTGATCAGAATACCAAGTTTTTCCAGCTCTTCACTGTATTCAGGTAAGCTCACCACCTTGTTGTTGATACGGTACTCAGAAGACGAACCTGAAACAAAGGATATAAAACATCAAAAACATTAGCTCATCAAAAGCACATAAAAGATGGCTGCATGGGCCTTTCAAGGTCCAAGGTTTTATTGTCATTGTACAATTATTATACAATAGCTTGCACAATGAAATACCGTTTGAATTAACATTGCCCAACAAAAGACAATGGTCTTATAATTAACACATATTTGCATTCTGTGTTGCCTGACTAGCTTTGCTCATTACAGATCTCAACTGCAGCTTGAGTGGATTTCAGGATGCAAGATGGATTCATAATAATTGTGAAGACAGTGAAAAATATTTCTTGTTCAATAAATGTAAAAAGACAGCATTTTAAAGCTAAAACATGTAATACTCATTGTCGGGCAGCTGAACTTGGACATATTGGCTTACAGAAGTACCTTTAACGTAAGTGAACTGGAAAGCACACAAATACATTAACAGCAAACTTGATGGCTTCTTATTTATTGTTAAAGCGTTAAAGTTGTTTTACGAAAATATTTCATTTCACACAGATATGTATTAATGAAGTAACTGACTCAGTCCAAAATGACTGTCAATGGCAGTTCATACCAATGATGACCCTTGTGAAGGAGCGTTCCTCTCCGTTATCCTCTTGGTACACCATACTGACAAAGGCTCTGTTGGCAGCTGGTTTTCCTACAGGTGCTCCATGGATCAGGTCCTTCAGAGTCTTCACACGCAGGTTACTGGTCTTCTCTGCCAACACGAAGCTGATGGCGTCCATGAGATTGGACTTTCCTACAACAACGGCATTCAGATTTTTAGTAACCCATATAAATCTAATGTAAATGCAGAATATACAAATGTTATTAACCAGTTTGTTAGGTACACTGTAACTTTACCTACATGACATTTATAATGTACAGTTGTCTGTTCAATTCAGTGTTTATTCAGATAAGGACTGCAAAATAGCAACATCTAGAAGTCCTAAATACATTGCATTTTATTAATGGAACAAATGCCTACATGGATCATCCCTGTTATATAAATTGATAGAAGTAAAGATCTGGTCATTTTAAAGGCTGTAGTTAGTTAGGACGTTGCATCTGTGTTTACAGCGATGATAGATTATAACTCTACAAGAATAGACGAAGAATGTAGAAAACATGATAATATTAAACTTGACACAGACAAAAACATAGCTTCATCATGCATACAACAAATGAACTAACTAACTAATACGACATTGTACAAGTTGACCGTCATAAATCAAAACACAAACAACACTGAAATAAACAACAGTGCAGAATAGTAACACTAACGCACAGTTCGTAGGACAGGTGATGTTTTAGTCAACAGTCAGACGCAGCACAAACATAAATTATCTGCATAAACAAAAACATGTTCCGACAGCGGGGCACTGCCGCACTGTTTACCGTTAGCCACTGCTAGCAGGCAGTTTGCATTATGGATTAGCCGCGAGTTAATATTGGCAACCATAACATACCAGATCCATTGGGTCCAATGATCGCAGTAAACTTGTGAAAAGGTCCAATGATCTGTCTCCCTTTATACGACTTGAAGTTTTCGATCTCTATCAGTTTTAAATAACCCATCTTCGTTATATTTGCGCCGCTGTTCTGGAAAAAAAAAAAAAAAAAAAAAAACCTGCAGTGAATATTAGCTAGTAAAATGCTAGCTAGCTAATGCTAACGAGCAATGTTTACCGGACAAGCTATCTCAAAGACGAAGCATGCACGGAAGTTAATGTCCCTCTCTGTTCGATCGATTGCTGCTTTATGCACAAGTCACATTATGAAGTGCATATTTATCCTAATAGTCTAAACAGCTTCATAATCTTGGTCAGATATAGGCGATGCGGTTGTGACAACAATGCGCCATTTTACAATCCAACAGGAAGAGCCTTGAGCGCGCGAGACACGAAACCCCACAGTTTATCGCGAGATTACGTTGAGCTGTCTGGAGTTCGGTTGCCCCACCAACTAACGTTAAAGTATGTAAGTTTAGAGTAAAATAAACAATTATTTATGCTAATTTCAGACAACTTTAATGTTTTAATGTCACCACTCACTGTTATTAATTATTTTATTTATGTCAAGCAAACACAACCCAGCGGCAAATTGAGACGTTACCATGGTTACAGTGGGCATCCAAACACAACATAACTCGACAGCAGCTTCATTCACGAGGTGCTACAGGGGCCTAAAGTCCTTAAATTAACATCTGTAACGCCAAAGGTAAGTGCTGCTTTAGATCTGTGATCATTGCCTGTCTTTAAACCAAATACTAATCTGATCAAATCTGATTTAAGAGGATTTCACCAGTGTGGGATAGTTAACGTTAGTATGATAATTAAATCATTTATTTCCAGCAAGGATGTCAGCCATAATTATAAGCTTTGTAATTATGTATTTCTTCCCATTAGTCTCATTAGAAACGGAGAAAATGTACAAAGTGGATTTGCCCGTAGAGCAGTCATTAGAAGAGGCTGTGCAGAGGCGGAGGTCTGCAGAGACAGCACGCAAGGCCCGGATCTTCAACACCAGGCTCCGAGTGATGGGCCTTGATATTGATGCCGTCAACCAACAGGTCCAGGAGAAAAAACATCAGCAAAACATGGAGATGCAACGGGACAAAGCTTTTGGTAAAGTATGGACATGATGACAGCCAGGGAGGATTAATTTTAATCACAACCAGTTTTCACCCAGGGGCATAACTAGGAACTGAGTCCTCTAGAAGAATATGGTTTTAGGCCGTCTCCATTTATGAAATCACCTTCATTACATCGCAGATAAGCTGAGAAAATATCACGATGATGCACTGCTGCAGCAAGATATTGATGAAAGAGAGAAGCGGGCAGCTTTGCATACTGACCTGACCCAGTTTTGGGCCACTCATCAACGTGTAGAGGACTCACGAGATGCTGATCTCAAGTGTGGCCTGAAGGGGGCATTTAGGATCACCATTCCAGAGGGCGAGCTGGGGCCTGCCAGCATGCAAGTCTTTCAGGTAGGATCGATGTCACAGACAGGTGCTTGTGTACATCAAGGCCAGTAGTACAAAATCCAGCGAATGGCTAAATGAATAATCACGCTACCCCCTGAGCACCGTGTCCTTGTTTCACGTACAGGGAGAGGATATTGGAGAGGAACAAAAGAGGAGAGAACAAATAAAGAAGACAGAAAGAGATCTGCGAGCACAGAAGGAAGACAATGACAGAAGGCACATGGGAGCCAAGCACAGAGGTGAAAAAAGGCAAACACAAGCCCACACACTGTAATCACTGATGAGCTAACATGCTGTACACTATAGCCTCTGTAAATCACACACATGCTTCATGCTTTCCTGCACAAACAATCACACACTCCTACGCACAGCCCTTACTGCCAGGTGGCATTGATGGATGCTCATCCCAGAGAGCCGTTATGCATGTGTGAGTGTGCCGTTGAAGAGCATTGTACAATGGATAATGGCTAACGCAGGTGTGATTTCCAATGTGTGTGTGTGTGTGTGTGTGTTTGTGTATGTGTGTGTGTCACAGAGACTCTCGTGAGCAAAGAGATGGTGCATCAGGACCTTATGGGGGTTCAGCTGCACGCAGTAGAGGAGGAGTGTAAGAAAGCTGCCCGCATCGCTCTCGACAACTACAATCAAGTTCTGGTACAGTACATGAATGTGCACACACAGATGGACACACAGATGCACACACACACACACACACACACACACCTCCTGCTGATATGGATCCTCCAAACAAATCCAGTGGGGGTTTTGAGCTCTGACATTGTGTTCTCAGGTGGGATTTTGAAATTGAAATTGCTAATTGAAAATGTTAAGTCATGCGTACGCACACTTGCTGCAGCAAGGCGTCCATCATATTAGTTGGTACCAAGCAACATGGATGGTTAAACTTCTTTGATGTATGCGTAGGCCCTGTCTGTTTTTAAAAGCCCCCATTTAGCTCTCCCCTCATTTGCCTGAATGCACTCAGCTGAATCCTCCATTGGGAGGCATCATTATAAATCATTCAGGTCATGGTATTTTTCATGACAATTGTGTGGTTTCTCTGATAACCACTCACATGCACGATGCACAAGCAAATACAGCTGACTGAGTGGGTCTCCCAGGAGGACATTCACCATATGGCTGACTCTTGTCTCTATGCTGGAATTAACCACATATTAGAGGTTGGGTTTCATAAAACTTCTGCTATTCTAATCATCAAGGGGATGATCAATCAGCTGTCCTTGGATCAGTAGTAAGGCCTCACTGGATACTGTTCCCCAACAGGCTGCAGAGCGGGCAGAGAAACTGAAGGAGCAGCACAGGGGAGAGGAAAGGCAGAATCTGGCAGAGATATGGCACACGCTGACATCCGACATGATGACAGAGTGTGCAGAGGCAGCGGAGAGAGAGGTGGAAGGAGGGAAACCGCCCCGGGTCCTGATAGACAAGTGGAAGGGGATGAGCCCTAAGCAGCTGAGCGCCATCCACAGGGAGAGAGAAGAACAGTGTCTTGAGAGACAGGTGCTGGAGTCACTATACAACACAATGCAACTCCCATACACACACAGGGAATTGTAAGCAATTTATTGTCACGTCATGTCTTCTCCAAACCAAACCAACAAACCATTCAGTGCCCCTGTATACCGTGTATGGATCTATTCATTATGGTTCTCCAGTAATTTATTTAGGTTTTACCTTTAATTTGTCATCAATGCCTATTTGTAAATCTGTCCTCACAGATTTCTTATGTTTAAAGGTTTAGGTTGTGACCAAAGGGACATTATTCCTTCTCAGATTGTTTTAAAAAATAAATTTAGTGGGTTTAAATGTTAAAATTATCTGGTGGTTAAACCGGCTGAAAAAATAAACCTAGTTTTGTGTAGCAGGATTTGTTAATTAGGAGCTTTACTGTCTGATTTATCTTTCAACCGTTTGGTCAGGTACTAACCCCGAGGTTAGGAACTAGTTAGGAACCATTAGTTCATAAGAACACTTCTAGATCATGAAAGTTCCACTCAGGTTTAACATTCAGACCTTTGTTTCTTTCCATCTTTAGAGACAACGTGATGCAGAGAAGGTTCAGGAGGCAGCTTGGAAACTTAAGCTCCTGAAACTGTCCAGAGAAACAGAGGAGGAGGAAAGGAGAACAGCAGAGCTGAGGAGACAGAAGAGGATTCAAACAGATCATTACAACATGCAGCTGGCCAGGGAGCAGCAGGCATAGTGAGCACTGCACACACATACATACACTGCCTATTCAGGCAGTAGTCAGCACATGTATTTTGGGTTGTAAGTGACAAAGTACTCTAATGTAGAATTCAGATTTAAATAAGCATTTTTTGGAAACAGTTTCTCACCTTGTGTTTATTTGTGTTTCTGTCTGCCTTAGTCAGGAGTACCTGAACAAGAAGCTTTACACCAACAAACCCACCAAGGACTACTTTTTTCAGTTCAACACAAGCTCCCGCTGAACACCACACATCTTACACAGGCTTGTTCTCCTGTGACAATGTGCTAATAAAATCTACTGGTTGCTATACTCGCACTCAATGTGAACTGAATCCCGAGTGATCAATAATTGCTGCTTACAATTTTTGTGACACATATGCATCGGTTTTATTGGCTGATACTGATGACAAAAAAGGAACCCTTTTTTGATACAGATTGTTCCACGTACTTTATTTTTCAGTCATATGTCCAGTTACAGTGGTAGATTCATAATGCAGTTACAATTATTGGCCCCATATGTGGTACAAGTCCATCTAACTCCTGTTGTTCATCCATGATACATATGGATACCATCAGTCCCATTGTGCTAATTGTGCACCCCACACACCACAAAGAGGCACATCTACACTCCGGCAGTGACACACACTTCCTTCCTCCCCTCACCCCTCCCCTCCCCACTCAGGCATTGTTGTTTACAATCTGCCTGCTGTTCTGAAGAAGCTTCTCTAAATGAACCAATTCACTTTTTTAGGCTTTTATCTTTTGAATATTTAAAAAAAAAAGGGCTGGGAAAACAGCAGTTGAAAAGCAAAGGCCAGTGTTGTCAGCTTCCCCCCTCGACACATGAAAAGCAAAGAGTGAATGGCAGTCTAGTGAGTATCTGTGTGTGTACACTCATTCCTCATTCAAAGCTAACATTTGCCCTCGAACACTGACAAACACAGATGTTTAGCAGCAGATAGTCAAGTTAGAATATTGGCATATTTTGTGTCATTCACCGCTCCTGTATGAAAATAGATTTTTTTAAAAGCTTTATTTGTCCTGAGTGTGTCTGAATAACCAACAACAGGGGAGCTTACACACACCTCTTTCAGTGCCACTAGCCTTTATAGACATCCCGTATTCTTTACCACAGGGACTGTCAGGTGATGTTTGGCCAGAGTCAAGCTTTTATTTGACTAGAGAGAACTGAGGCAGCAACGTTGCATATAGGTACTCCCTGTGGTATGCACAAACTGGCTCGCTGCATCTCTGCCTCTCATAACTGCATGAGACAAAAACTCCACAGATATTCACTGCGCTGCAATGCATTGCTGGATGTTTATGGGCATGAACGCAATCTTAGTTTTCATTGTAATGTAACTACTATCACTAAATGACACTAATGTACAACTTTTTAGATTTTCAGATTTTGAAATGTTTGCAAACATCTACAGAACAATGTGGATTTTTTTCCCTTTTTTTATTTTTTTTCCTCAACTATGAACTATTTTTGCTAAAACAGCCAAATCTTACTGCAATCATTAGTCAAAAACAGAAAGTTTGAATTCATAGCAATATTACAAAGAAGAAAAAGGACAACTTGCAACATTTTAAAGTTAAGTGGCCTCAAACCTGCACATTTTCACATTTTTATATCAAACATGGTTGGGTTCATCAAAACAATCTGTAAGGGTTGTATTTACATTCTGTGGGGGGAAAGAAACTCCTTCCAGATCGTCTCATAACCACTCTTGTCAGATTTTTTTTTTATCAGTAGCATGTAAATACAATGTCTGCCCAGCTCTAAAAAGAATACATTCTCTGTGTTTGATGTAAATACCAACTGCTTGTCTTTATTATACATCAACTGGCAATCATAACGCCTGTCTGCAATATGAACTTACATTGATGAGGGTCTGAAAATAAAACTTGAGAGTGCCTGCCCACAAGACTCCACTCTCTGATCTGTAAATATACATAAATACTGCTCCTCAAACAATTTGTGTAGTATGAGATGGACAGGTATGAAAAGATTGTTGATTAGAGACAACAATGTTTTTAATACAGTGTAGAAAGAGACAAAGACATATACAGAAAGCTACACATAGGTCTCGACACGAAAAATTACAATATCATTTCCAATAATGACATTACACTTCTGGTGGGAAGGCGAGAGAGTAATGACATCAATCTGGTGCTCTATGCAAACCCAGCAGGCACAGGAACTTATAAGGAGCATGTACATATCTATAATACTGTATTATGGCTAAATAGATAGATGTAGATGCAGCTATATACACCAGATGCTACTCAGCATTTTCACAGCAAGTTCCCCTTATGCATCCAATGTTATTTATAGTAAGAAACTTGGCTTTACTTAGTTTCAATTAAAACAATTCGATCTATGAAATATGACGATGAGGAGAAGTTATGTGTTTAACAAATATTGTAGAAAACAATATGAAAAAGTGATAATATCAATAAAAGATAACAAAAGAAAAAAAAATGTCACTGGCAAGTACAATCTGAGACATCAAATGGCATTAGACATACAAAATCATGTGAGAAATAATGAATGTAAGACAAATTTCTAAGATTCAAGACTTTTTACAGCAGCATGTGCCGTCTGTTTCCCCACACAAGGCTCTACCATCATCCTCCTCCGTCCTCTTTCAATGCACTACTCTGCATCTCTATAGGACCATACCTACAATCCCTCTGATATGTCTACCTGTACAACATTCTGTCTTAATCTTTCTATACAGTTGTCTGCGTAGAGAAACAAAAGAGAGGAAAGAGAGAGAAATGAATGTTAGTCATCAAGATATGCTGTAAACACACAGATAGAGGAGGGTGGGGGGGGGAGGGGGTAGGGGTCAAAGGACATCTTCAGGTCAGTCAAACTTGTATCACATTGTCCACTACTTTGGACACTCCTTTGGTCAAATAGTCCAGTCGTTCAGATGACTGCCAGGTGCATCTGAATAGTCAATATATTGATTGTGTATTAGTCGTTAAACTACAGATCAAGAGCAAGTCAGTAGGGAGCAGGAGCGTATGGGCACATGTGTTGAGATGTTTTGGTCTGATGGTCCGCGGTGGATATGTGGGGGTTAATCGAGGATGGTGACTGAGTTGGGCATGCCATTGGTGGCTGGGGAGATGGTGTTGGGGTTGAGCGGGGAGTTGTCGGGTATGCCACGGAGCCCATCCGGCCCCTCGCTGGGCCGACTGAACTGGCTGGCCAGAGACTCATCCATGTTGAGCTCTGTGGTTATGGCACTGCTGCCGTTGAAGTCCAGGTTGTCCTCGCTGCACAGCTTGCTCTCCTCACCCAGGGACGGCTGGCTAGCTGTGCGTTTCTCCTCAAGGTCACTACAGTATGCGAGAGCACAGGACAGGTCAAAAGCAAGAAGTTATCATAAGGTAAAAGATTACATGTGATCTGATTACATGCTAGAATTCTAGAACCGCAATGATTTTTAATACTAGATACTTTTACGTAATTTTTCTAGAAAGTTAGAGTTCCAGATACTCAAATGTGAGAAATGGCTGCCTTTCTTCGCCTTACATTATTAAACTAAGTATTTTGGGTTTTTGGATTGTTAGTCAAAAAAAAACCTTTGATGACTAATGCTTTATAAACCAAATCATTAATAGAGAAAATAACTGGCAGATTAATCGATCGCTGCAGCCCTTTATAATACATAACATTATGATGATACCAAATGTTACAGGAAAGTCAGTGGGTAAGTCAGCCATTGGCAGGGAATAATAAATAAGTGGGTTTGGGATAGCACAGCATACCTTTCTAGGGATCTGCATAGCATGGGCAGGCATTAGGGAGAAAAGGGACAATGAAAGGAACACAAAGGGTTAGGAAAGCCAGTGCAGAGGGAGTCAGGGATGTGTTAGGAGTTTGAATTTAAAGGATCTATAGAAACATAATGTAACACTTGATGTGCATTCAGATGACAAACCTGTACTCTCCAAAAGTCTCATCCTTCATAGGCCGTGCTTCTGAGTCCATCGGACCCTCTTCTTTATCTTTCACTGAGGAGTAGATTATTGGATTTTATTATCAGGAAGATCTCAACCATGTTTCTCTCTAAGCCACCGTCTCAGACATCGATAATGACATTCTGTCGCACAGCAAGATAACACCAAGTGAAAAAAAGGAGTTTGTGTATGTGGAGCAAAAAGATTTGGACAATCTGTTGTCAGAATCTGTTTCTTTATGTGATTTATAGTTTTGTATTTGATATAATTTCTCATCTGGCTTAAACAAAATAACTACCACTATGAATATTACTATAAAATTCAAAACAATTTAAATAATTAATTGCCCTGTATTTATTATTAAATTAGTCCATCCTTTAAGCACAGGCAGTCAAGTCTACTTTAAAACGATCCAGCCACTTGTTTCTCCCTCGTGTGGAAAGGGATGAAAGGCTGTTGCTTTTCTCTGACCAGCCAGACAGTGGCCTGCAGGTTGCAGTTTCTCTTGTGGTTTGTGATTTTTATTTCACAGTTCTTTTCAGGGCAGAGCTTCTTCCCTACCATCATAATAAAGAAGTGGAGGCTTAGAGGTATGTTTCACTATATGTTTGATGCGAAGGCTGCGAGGGAGAAAGGCAGACAACTGAAAGCCAATTATTTGGAGTTGGAGCCACTATAGGGACCATATAGGCAGCTGTTTGGAGAGAATTGTGCAAGTGTGATCTTATTTTACTTCTGTCCAGTAAGAATAATCTTGTTTACTGTGCATTCCTGTAAATGCTTGACTTGTTTTTCTTGTCATTTTCCTTATGAGAAGGCTTTATTGCTCCAGACTGTCCAGTGTTACCATCATAGCTTGTGTACAGTTTGATAAAGCAGGTATCTATTGTATTGTTATGGCACACAGGCTTAGAAGGAGGAATAAATATGGTACTGTTCAAGGCCTCAATCATTTTGTATTCATCAAAACTTGCCTGAATACTTCCCCCCTTTACTCCTCTTGATAAAGCAGAGAATGAGCAGTATCAGCAGCAGCAGCACAATGGCGCTCACAACACCGATGAACCAGCCCTGTGTTGCAAAGCTTGGCTGCACCTCCGTCACTCCTTCAGAAGGAAAAGAAAAGAGAGTATGCTTTTTGTAATGGAGAAACAGCATTAAGGTACAAGAGTAGTGGGAAGGATGAAAAAGCTAGAAGAAACAAGATAAAAGAGGGAGAAGAATCTAGAGCAAAACAGACAGAGCATTATGCATGCTGACAGAGTGGCATTTCGCTCGGGAACCAAAGAATACAGCACAATATGCCAAACAAACACAAGTAATGGATCATTTCATATGGCTAACCAAGCTCTCTTTTCAGATAAACACAAGTCTTTGAAAGCACTTCACAAGCAGTGGAGAGAACTGCAAAACACTCTCAGTAGGATCATGCTTTATATTTAGATGTGGGAAGCCCAGAGGAGAGAGCAGAAAAGATGAAAGAAATGAGGATGAATGAAGGAAGAATGCTGATAGTACCTGTTCCTTCTGTGTCGATGTCAGTCTCCCAGAAGGTGGTGTTGCTGTAGGAGAAGCGTAGACGATAATGAGAGCCAGGAGTCAGGCCCTGGAGTTGGTAGAAAGACTGAGAGGAGTTCACCTTCTCCGTCTTCTTCCAATTACCGCCATCTGCGGAGACATGACATAAACGAAATGTTATGACTGTAACTTTTGATCCCTGAAGGAAAAGAACAAGGTACAACACATATAGTAGGCTATGGGATTTCACGCCCCTGCAGGTGATTTGTAGTGATGTATGTGCAGCCCCGCCCGCACATATAACTATCCGTCATCACAACCTTTAGTTCTCTCTTACCGAGTCCAGCTGCACAACGTGGCAGCAAGTGTTGTACCTTTTTCCTCTCCGTCAGGGAACCGAAGTTATAGTCATAACATTTTGTTCCCTTTCAGTCGATTCATTCGGTAAAATGCATAGCACACTCTGTCAGTCAGGCCACGTGTGGGGGCGTGACATCCTTTACTATATGTGTTGTATTGAACGAATTGAAAGGGAACCTTGATTTTCCTTTTCATTGTTTAGGATTGTGAAACTAACGCAATGAGGTTTTCTCTAAGCACTTATTAGTGTAGATATTGTACCATTTTTGTTGAGGTAGAAGATCTGGAAGCTAACATTCCTGTGTCTCTTCTTGGCCACCCAGCTGAAGTTGACCGAGTTTTCCCCCACAGATGTAGTGATGTTGGCAGGAGGTGCTGCAAGACATTCAGAATAATCACATTCTTGATCTAGTACAACCTGTTCCTTTACGAGTTAGATCTGCAATGAAGAAGAATTGGCTTTGTACCTCCATCAAGCATGGTGGCACCCTCTCTCTTGATGGGCTCTCCATCCCCTGCGTGAGTGCGCCCCCTTAGATAGAAGCGGTAGTGGCTGTGACGGTCCAGGCCCTTCAGGGTGAGGTGGGTGACTGTGGGGTCGTCTATTGTTTCTACCTGCATGGGGCTGTCATCACTCTCCACAACTGACCACAGCACAGCCAAAAAAACATTCAATCACTACTTGATGATCTTCAACACATCGTTATGGGTGACATGTGACTGACTGATGAGCATCATTAAGAGGCTTTGCTTCTGACATATTTCTAGTGTTATTGATTTATAATAGGCAGACACCCTCACCACATTCAAGAGTAGGCTTAAGACATTCCTCTTTGATAAAGCTTATAGTTAGGGCTGGATAAGGTGAGTCCTGAACCATCCCTTAGTTATGCTGCTATAGGCCTAGACTATCGGGGGATTTCCCATGGTGCACTGAGCTACTCTCTTCCTCTCTCTTTCTGCACTCATTCATGTCCCATTAATGCATGTTACTAACTCCACTTCTTCCCCGGAGTTCTTGTGCTTTCTCGTCTCGCAGGTTCTCATGGATCCTGGTGGAGCCTCCTGCCATGGTCCTGCTTGACTGCCATTGCCAATACTGTTGTTGCTGTGCACCTGTCTGTCTGTCTGTCTCTCGCTCTCTCTCTCTCTGCCTCTCTCTCTCTCTCTCTCTCTCTCTCTCACCCCAACTGGTCGAGACAGACGACCACCCACCTAGAGCCGGAGGATCTGTCCTAGGTTTCTGCCTTTTAACAGGCAGTTTTTCCTTGCCCTTGTCGCCAAGTGCTTGCTCATGGTGGTACTGTTGGGTCTCTGTAATTAATGTTAAAGAGTTCGGTCTAGACCTGCTCTATTTGAAAAGTGTCCTGAGATAACTTCTGTTATGAATTGGCGCTATACAAATAAAATTGAATTGAATTGAATTAATATATATATATATTTTTTTTAAGTCTATTTTTTGGGCTTTTATTGCCTTTATTATAGTGACAGCTGAAGATAGACAGGAAAGGGGGTAAGAGAGAGGGGATGACACGCAGCAAAGGGCCGCAGTGCGGAGTCGAACCCTGGGCCGCTGCAGCAAGGACTCAGCCGTGGTACGTGGGTCGCCAGCTGTACCCACTGAGCTATCCGGGTGCCCTAGTGTTATAGATTTAGCGGGAAATTTATCGGTTGGTGTCATTCGCACTGATGTTTTTACTGATGTCTTTCATGCAGCACTTATTAAACAGAATGTATCAAATGTTGGTTATTTTGTAGGTGTACGGGTGTAAACAATGCTCACTCTGCTGGTACTGCAGTAGATATCCAATGAGGACTCCATTGGGCTGTCCAGGAGGCGTCCAGTGAAGGGTCATTTCTGTCTCTGACGGGCTGTCCAGCATCAGGGACGTGGGGGGACCAGGTACTAGCAGCAACACAACAGGCCTGATTAAAATGCACTCGGCTTAAAAGGCATAATTATACTAATTTGACCTACTGTATTCCCCCAACATCTGCCTGCTCAATAATATCTATCCCTGCATCAGTTTCCTTCTCTTCACTGCCCTCCATCCAGTCATTCCCTGGAGAACAGTGTCAATCCCTCTGTTGTTACCCACTATCCACCCCTCCCCTCCTCCCATCCTGCTCCATCTTTCTCTCCGTCTGTAATTTAACATCTTCGCTCACTTTATCTATCACCACCCCCCACTTCAGCCTTGTCACCCTTCTGTCCCCAATTTATTCTCTCTTTCTCATTCTCACCTCCCTCTTCAGTCTTGAAGGACAGCGGCTCTGAGGGGGGTCCCTCTCCCTTGCTGTTGAACACAGTGACGGCCAGGGTATAGTGGGAGTACGGTCTAAGATCACTGATCACCTTCTTCTCTTCGTTGGCCCCAGTCTCCACCACCACAGTGCTCTCTGACTCCTTGGCCCTCCGGCCTCGGTGGTGGCCCCTGGAGCCGGTTCTGGTCAAGTAGATCTGGACCCCAGAAATAATTTCAAATTTTAAACCTTTCATACACTTATGCTTAATTAATTTCATATCATGGTTGTATTGAGTGATGTCATCAGACCTGAAGAGACATTTTCTTATGTCAGCATAAAAACTGTGTTTTCTAAGTACAGCTTGGGTGTTGAATGGAACATGAATCATAGACCCAACCAAGAGAAAGAGAAGCAGTGCGACTGAAGTGTGAAACATTTTGAAGGTTAGACCATCTAAAATTTTATAAAAAGACTTTGTTCTTCACAACCTTGAAACTCAAGAGAACTCTGAGGCCCTTGCCAAGCTAAGATCTGGCTGCCTCTGCTGCAAACCCAATGTATGCATTATTCATGAGCACAGGATCTGAATATGTTAGCCCAAACAACAGAGATACAGGATCAGTACCTTGTATCCCAGCAGGTGTCCTCTGACCGTCTCTTTGTCTACTGCTGCCCAGGTCACCCTGATGGTAGTGCTGTTCATTAGTACAACACCAACATCCATTGGCGCCTCCAATGGAACTGAGAGACAATGAGACAAAGAATACAACATTGAAATATTCCCAGTGAAAGAAAATGGTATTGCTGAAAAACTGCTTAACAACCGATTTTTTAATATATCTTACAATCTTCTCCTGAGTAGCCAATGACAGGGTCTGGTTCAGGTCCGTCCCCTTCCTCATTGACAGCCTGAACTTTGATCTCAAAGGCAGAAAAGTTGCCAATGTCATTGACCGTGAATGGTGGTGCAGTTGTGTAGTTGGTGTGCCAGTTGGGCCCGCTGCCCACCACTCGCCTCCACAGCACCCGGTACTTGAAGTTAGGTCCGTTAAAGTTACGTTTGTCCATGTCCTGCAGTGACGGGAACAGCAGTCAATAAGGCGCAATCCCCTTTTTTTCTAATTTGTCTAATAATGCTTCAGATAATTGCACATTCAGGTAACAGCTGTACCTCCCAGGTGATGACCAGGGTATCTGGGTCTGTGGACTCACTCCTAACATCTTCAGGGTTATTGTCTGGAGCTGTGATTGAAAACGAGTTCAGTGTTGTGACGTTTGGGATTCATTTTGAGAATAAAAACTTGTGGTTAAGAAACACTGGCTCTAACCTTCAGCAGGTGTGTTGTGGATTTCAGATGGCTTGCTGGGGTCGCTCTTGTCCACATCATTGATGGCAATGACCCGGAAGCGGTACGACATGTAGGGCCACAGAGTGAGGCTAGCACGCTTCTTATTTCCTCCTACTTTCTTCAGCTCTTCCCAGCCCCTCTGCTTCAAAGCTTGGTCCTCAAACTCAATCACATACTCTGCAGAGAGAGAGAGAGAGAGTCAAGGAGGGATGGGGAAAGACAGGAGGTAAAAAATAAGGAAGCAATGGAAACATAAACACTCAGTGAAACTTTGAGCTTTACAAGTCTGATGCTGAAGATCAAATAATAATCCTGCCCAAGTAATAAAAACAGAGCAGCCTTTCATTTTGCCAGAGGGAGATAAATTATATGGGGTTGTTGCTCTGAGTGTTGGAGTTAGACAAGATGAAAAGGTCTATGTTTGTATTTCTATGTGTGCGTTTGTGTGTGTGTGTGTGTGTGTGTGTGTGTGTGTGTGTGTGTGTCAGTGCATATTCTCACTTAGGCTCTAGTGTAAACATCAGGATCTCAGCAGGAATTTTTTTTTTCTTAAAACCCAAAAATAGAATCACCATCCATATAAAACAGTTTTAGCATTGAACAGAAGAAAAACAGAGGAAGCATGAGATAGGTGTGTGCAGGTGCGTGTTAGTGGTGTGTGTGTGTGTGTGTGTGTGTGTGTGTGTGTGTGTGTGTTTGTCTGTACTGAACCTAGCACAGGGCTGTTGTGGTCGTCTCCAGGAGTCCAGCTGAGGGTGACTGCACGATGCTTAGGGTCAGTGATCTGGAGGAGGACAGGAGGGTCTGGACGATCTAAAGTCAACAATAATATCATTACCACAACTACCTGCACACAGCAAGTTTAAACAAATAGGTCTCTCTAATTGTGAGAAAAAATATTTATCTGAACAATTGTGCATATATTGTCTAGGCCTGTTGTATATTCAGACACATGCTGGTAATTGATCATACAGTATGTGATCAATGATCTTACCACATAACGTGAGGGTGCTGTTGGCTTCAGCCAAGTCCAGCTTAGTGATGACCTGACAGGTGTACACACCTTCATCCCCTGGTTCCACATTAGCTATTATCAGGTCTGATCCATCAAATGTGTATCTGAGGAAATATGGTCATCATTGTTATCCTTATCCTTCTCCTCCTTTCAATCATGACCAACTTTTATCACATTTTTCACTACCTCACCATCTCTAAAAAAGGAAATAGATGCAATGTATGAAGGATCAGAAGCTAATTTGTAAACACTGTTCTTGGTTGGCTTTGAAAAGGGAGAGTAAAACAACTAATCAAACATATAAAACAAAAATGGATAAAATAATCATCCTGTCAGTAATTTCTAACATTATCATAATTTTTGTCCATTCTGTATGTTAAGGATTTAATCTTACTTTTCATCACTGTGGGACTCAGAGAGATTCTGGCCGTTCTTTTTCCACTGAATGGATGGAGAGCTGAGTTTGGAGTCAACAAGGGACTGGCAAGTGAAGATTGCTGTGTTTCCAGGCTGCACCTTCAGAGCCTGTGGAGGTGACAGGATCACTGTCCTGTCTGGAGGAGAAAGCAAGGAGACATACGATGCTGAGACAAGCTGCATGAGGTGCAAATAACATTAGCTGCTAAGGGAGTGTCTCACTCACTGAGCACTTCCAGTTCGGCACTGACAGACAAGTTGCTGTTCAGTACAAAGCAAGTGTAGGTGCCCTTGTCGTTGTGGGTGACATTAAAGATCTCAAGCCCCCCGGTGGTGAGTTGGTTAACTCTGGGATCTGCCAGAAGGGAGGAGGTGCTGTCGCTCTCCCTGGATAAGATACACACACACACACCCAAAAAGACAAATTAGAAACTTGACAAGCAGAGTTAGAAATAAACCTTTTCAGCTACTGCAGGTGCTGAGGAATTTACCAGTTCATTCACCACTTGGCCTATTTCACCAGAAAGAACAAAGCCTGGTTGGATACTTACCACACTAACATTCACAGCCCAGATGTAACAGCATTTGCTTGTTAATTTATGCATATGACGAGCTACCTACGCAAAAATTTCCCCTCTGGGAAATTTGTTAATATGAAAATATTTCAGACACACTAGAATACACAATACAATACAGTGCAACAGAACACAAGGGAACAGAATAAGGTGGTCATGTGCCTCACCATATGACTTTAGGTTTAGGAGAGCCAAATGTTTCACACTCCAGTGAAGCCTTCTGGCCCTCTGCAACTGTGTATTGATTCCCATCCTCAGTAAGGATCTGGGGAGGAAGCTCTGTAACAACGCACACAAAGGGAAATGAGACATACACAGACCACATACTCATATAACTGTTTAATCAGTGACATGTACAAAGCAAACATTCACCAATGACATAGACGTTGGCATTGGTGAGGATGGTTCCATGCTTGTTGGAGGCCTGACACTGGTAGATGGCAGTGTCTCCAAAGTTGACATCTTCAAGTATTAGAGATCCGCTCGGCATCAGAGAACGTCTGGGGTCCTTGTCGGTTGCTGTTGAAAAAACACATGGTCAACACGCATATTCAAGGTAATGTGTTGATGTTTGTAGTTACAGGTGGGTCTGTGCACTTACCTGAGAGAGGGATCCCGTTTATGGTCCAGCTGATGGTAGGAGAGGGGATGCCGTCTGCCTGGCAGTCTAGTTTGACAGTCTCACCTGGGGCATATAACTGACTGACTGGCTCAATGGTCCAGTAGGGAGACGCTACAAGGGGCAAAATATATTAATTAGACATAGTGCAAACAAAACATTATGTTATTGAGTTACTCAGTGAGACTGATGGGTTGAGACTGATAGGTCACAGCCTACAAGTTGTCTCAAAAATGGAGCCACTGATCACTAAACTGTTTTATTCAAGTTAAAAGCGCAGTCCATCAGTTTTACAAATCAAGGTCAATTTACTAGTCACAGCAAGTATTGCTCAGCTTGTGACAGTTGTATAATGTCTTCTTCTCTTTATCAAGAGGGAATTAACCCGGGTATGTCAGCTTGGGCTTGGAGAACAAGCTTTTTACAGAAAGCCTGCAAAACAAGGGCACAGGCTTTCTGTTAAGGCTTTAAAAATTTGCATATTAACTCGGCAGGGATCTAACGAAAGATGCTATCTGGTTGCATGATGGGTAGTGCAGGAGTTTGACCTATACTAGTACTAAGTCTGATATCTCTTCTGGTTAATTTTCATCTGACTCTTCCAAGTGCCCTAAGTAGTGAAGTACTTTTACAACCTTGGCCTAACAACAAAAATGACATGATTGATGAATGATGATGATTTTCCACTTTGTAGTTACATTATATTGTATACATGATGCTCAATACATGATGCTCAAATTATCCTTATTTCACATGCAATGTGGTAAATATAGTATAATAGTATAGTATTGTATAATAGATGTGCCGTACCTTCCACAGTCACAAAGTAAGTGTGTGTGGCCTTCCCTTGAGAGTTCTCAGCTATACACTGGTACTCGCCCCCGTCACTCTCAGAGATATTACTGAAGCGCAGGCGGCGGTTGAACATTTCTTTAGTGGTCCGAGATTCAAACAGCTCGCCGTCCTTCCTCAGCCATGACACTTTGGGAGTTGGGCTGAAGAAAAGGAGAGGGGGGGAGATGCATTAGACGCAAGAGACAAAGGGGTGAATGAAACCGAGAGAGGAGAAATAGACGTGAGGAATGTTGTTTGACAGTGTGACATTAAAATGAAGAAGGCAGACAGACGGGAAAAGAGACATGCAGAGTGAAAAGAGAAGAAATGTATGAAAATGAGAAGGCAGCCAGAAGCAGAGTTGGCAGGAGAAAGCAAAAGATAGACAATGGAATGAGGGGAGTGTAAGGAGGTAGCAAGAGGGGAGGGGAGATGGATGTGAGACAGGTAAGATTGATTAAAAGGAGTGGCTCAAGTTTTTGATGATGGGGGCAGTAACATGCACATATGAACACACAGACACTCACAGGCCTTGTACGATGCACTCAAGCTCAATGGTCTGGCCCCTGAGGGCATGGTAAGTGCTGTGGCTTTCAGTAGGTCTCATCATGTGGGGCCTCCTGTTCCGCAGTACAGAGTTGGCTGGAGAAAGAGAGTTGGAAACACAAAGACGGAGAGAAAGATTCATACATATGTATGGGTAATTTTCAAATTGCCGTGCTGCTGACACAGCAGCCACTTTAGTAACTCAGACACACAAAGATGCAGGGTGTGGAATCGTGTGGCGAAGACTTTCCCTTTCTAACAACCCATCATCATACAGATTTTCTAGACACACACATACAGAGAGGTCTCATGTTAACATGTGCTCATCTTTCTGACCTCTAGTTGGGCCACAGATGCTGGCAGCCACATCTCAGTGTGAGCTGCATCTCATTACCACTGGACTGAGGAGGTGATGGCCCCCCTGCTGGCTTTGGGATCGTGTACTGGACACTGTACTGCTTCGGTCAGCACAACATGCCACCACATAGGGGTGAGTTGACTTTGGTTTAACTATGGGGCCTCAGTGGTTCTCAACAAATTGTCATGCTGACTATTTATCACACTGAATGTGCCGATTTGATATAGAGACATATACAGTTTTATTTATAAACCTAAATATACGCATTAAGGACAGTGTAAACTACATCTTAAAGGTTCAGTTCACCCAAATTACAAATATCATATATTGAGCCATGCTGGCAGCATAGCTCTAGGGATGGCAATGTTGGTCTATCCACCACTTTCTTTCTGACTGATATTACTCATCAATGTATGAATGGATTAAGATTGGGACATATATCTCTGATTCCCAGACATTGAGTACTAATGACTTTGGTTACCCTATGACTTTTTCTCTAACATGAGGTTGACATTTCTAGTTTTGAGAAAAATGTTTGAACAGCTATCGGATGGATTGCCATGAAATTTGGTAAAGACATTAATGTTGCCCTCAGGATGAATTGTAATAACTTTGCTGATCCTCTGACCTTTCACCTAGCGCCATCATCAGGTCAAAATTGGTATCTGTTTAATGATCATCAATTCTGTTTAGTGCAAATTTCAGCATGCTAACATGCTACAGATGGTAAACATTGTACTTGCTACACATCATTATGTTAGCGTTGTCATTGTGAACACGTTAGCATGCTGTCATTAGCGTTTACCTCTAATCACCACTGTGCCTAAGTGCAGCCTCACAGAGCTGCAGACTCTTTAATTTAAACATCTTTAACCTTTCACTACTTAAACTATTTTATATGGAAGAAATTGTCCCTTTAAAAACTGTTTAGCGTGTTCTGTCAAGTGTTTCTGGATAGAAATGTTGCTGCTGAATTTTTAGCAGTGTTTTAGTTAGTGAGGCAACAGAAATCTAGAGACATAGGTGAGAAAATATATAATAATAATTATAATACATGCATTGTGATTGATACTGACCTGCACCTCCCATGAAATAACATTTTTGGAAAAGGTTTGTACACCTGTAATGTTTATTTTCTTCCTCATATGGTAGTAACATCACACTTTATTTCTTTAAAGTCTGAATAAAAGCAGTCTTAGCCTGAAGATGCTGGAATTCAGTTCAGCTGAGATCAGATCAGTTGATCCAGAGTAAAACTCACAGGGGTTGACAGTAAGAGTGATGGGTTCCTTTGCCAGAATGGTTCGAGTTGCAAGGTACTGGACATTGCAGGTGTAGTCATCCCGGCTGTCTTCAGTTGTCAAATAGGCAAAGTAGAGGTTGCCATCCTTCCCCACTACTACCCGCTCACTCAGCAGGATATGGTGTAGCCCTGTGGAGAGAGGGAGGGAGGAAATGAGAAAGAGAACAAGACAGAAAATGTTGACAGATAGAGGCAGCAAAAAAAAAAGAGAAACAAGGGAGATTGAAAGAGGAGCTTAACGACATAATAAAATAGTGAGAGAAAATAGAAGTGATAGACACAGAGATACAATGATGAGAGAAATAGAAAAATTATAATACAGAGATGTAAGAGAATGGGGGTAAGAATAGACTCTGCTTGAAAGGAAATTCTGGACATTCAGAAAGAAAAAGATTGTTTCAGAAATAAATAATCAACTACCCCTCTATGGTGTGATAAAAATGGACAACAAAAGGACAGATAGATTGTCTAAGTGGAAAATGTATTGAGGAAACAGGAAGGATGTCATGGAAGGAGAGATGGAAAGGTACTCACTCCAGTCCATCCAGTGAATGATAGGCTCCATAGAGCTCTGCGGGGGGTTGCACTTCAGAACCATACTGTTTCCCTCTTCAGCCTTCAAACTAACCTTTTTTTCTTTCTGCTGGGTTGGGGGAGCTAAAGGGAGGCAAGTGAGGAAAAACACACACTTGTTTTTGTACTTAGATACACACACAAACATGTACACAACCACCTGTACACACATTTACTGCGTCATGCAACGAATTCCTCAGGCAATCCTCAGCACAAGTCAGCCTGAACACGCATTGCAGTGATTAAGGAGTGTATTTATAAATCCCCATTTGAGGAACTTAAAGGATTTGCGAAAAAGCACAAAAAGAGAAGGCAACTAGTTGTCTTTTCTCTTGCGGAGGTAGAATGACGTGATTTGTCATATGTCTGCCCCCCTCCCCTCCCCTCCCCTCCCTTCCCCTCCCCTCCCCTCCCCTACCCTCTGCACATTGTTGATAACCCCACAGGAGCTACTGAAGAGTGCTTCACATGACATCAACTCAAGAGCGTTTCTGGGGAAACCGTTGTCAGGGAAACTGTGAAGGAAGGAGGTCGCCCAGGAGAGAGTCAGTCACACAGGTGGATGGATACACGGAGGTGCTCTTTACTTTTGCCCAGGGGCCGTGTGTGTGTGTGTGTGTGTGCCTGTGTGTGAATATATGCTGATTATTATGTTATTGCATGTAATTATGTTCTGGGTGGCGGTATACTGGGAGCTCGCGGTTGTGAGCCTCCATCTGCTAACAAATGAGCTCTCTATAAAGCAGAGCAAGGAAAATGTTTATACGTGGGCTCCACTCCCAGCTTTGTAAATCGCTGTGTTATTGCTGATAAAACCAACAACAACACAGCTCGCATCTAATCTGGACCTTGAAGGCATTTACAGGAGCGCTAACACTGAAACTGACATCTATAAAAGACATGTAGCTCCTCTGATGTGATACAGTTTGTCTGAAAACACATCAGAGGATGTTTGGTTAGTTTGATCCAATTTCCAAGGGTGTGATTCATCTCTCAAATGATTACAAATTACCAAATGCTCACTGAGCTTGACAGAATTTGAATCCTTCAATTGCTAACGTTTAAAATGAATGACCCTTTCTCAATAACTGGTCAGTGTTTTTTTTGGGATGAATAAGCCATCAGCTTGTTCTTACCATCAGTGTTGAGTATGGCCTCGTTAGAGACGGCTGTCCCCAGCTCATTGGATGCGTAGCAGACGTATTTGCCTTGGTACTGCCTCAGGGTGTCCACAGAATTACTCAGTGTGTAGAATGCAGATGAGCCAGAGCGCTCGGAAACCTTCAGCTCTGGGTCACTGCTGGGGTCAAACTCCTCTCCATCCTTTGTCCATCGGAAACTTGAGCAAAGAAAAAAAAAATCAGCAACACAAATGACAGGAAATAATTTCCTTGCCTTTGAAAAAAGCAGTTTTTAACACATGTGAGATGCCCTTACATGTCAGTGAATTTGAGGACACAAATGAATTACTGAAAAATTTACACTAGATGCCCCAGTGGGACTCATAAGCTTGTGCTGTGTAATTGCGATATTCATCTTTTCCTTGGCAATTGGAGCAGTTTTCCACTTCAGAGCAGCTAAGACACTCTGAAAAGATTGCTCGAGGGCTTAATGACATTTATCCCTGGTTGAAATGAGAACTCTGACTGGGAGAATCTGTGCTCTTGTGTAATACTAATATGTAGATGTCAGCCTAACAAGGAGACGTAAGGTCACTGTTCTCAGTTGTCTGAAAAGATAACTGGTGGCTAGGCTCCTCCATGACTAATATAGCATCTTCAGACTTTATGTGTTTGTGCGGACGTGTGTGTTTGCTGACTAACATGGGTAAAGGGTTGCCGATGGCTTCACAGGTCATGACGAGGTCTTCAACACTAAAGACAGTGACAGACTCCGGCTGTGTGGTGATCATTGGAGGCCTCTTGACTGCAAGGACCCAAAATAGAGTTACTGCTGTCACAATACCATAATATAAAAAATATAGAATTATAAAGCACACACATATATGGTTTAAATGCACATACATGAGACACATGCACACACTGCTGCAGTCTTCACATGACCTTCTTTCATTTTGCATGCTGCTGCAATAACTCTAGCTATGACATACACACATACATCACTCTTGTGTAACACACACATCATCAGCACAGAAAAAACACAGATACCAATCATTTTCATAGTTCAACAGCTGCCGATAAGCAAATTCAGTCAATATCACTTAAAAAAACTCCCCAGAGAAAGAGATGAAATGTAGGCCGAGGAAAATAGGAAGAGAGCAGGCAAAGAAAATGGGCTGAGATGAGAGGAAATTGATATAGGATAATGTAAGAGGGCGAGTTCGTGTAAAGGAGATATACAGCACAGCTCCCTCGATGAGACTGAGAAAGAGGGAGAGCAAGGGAAAGCGTCTGTGGGGAAATGAAGCAGGGATTTTCAAAGGAGAAAAAGTAATGACCACCAGAAGAGGTTTCTCTCCCCCTGTCGCCACTGTCCATAACAACCATAAAGCAAAGCCTCGATAACAGACTCATAAAAACCAACATGCTGGGATTTGGGTCGAGTACTGTATTGAACCAGCATGTTTGATTTTTCCACATGCTTTATGGCCCATGTCATGTTTTTATGTTTTGCTTTTCAATACTTATAGACAGAAATGTAAATCTTTTTCACTACATAGCTTCAGTAGCTACACACTGACTGTTTGCAGTGGAATAGAGGTCACAGCTTGATACTTGTTGGTAGAGTCTTTAATTTGACTTTAAGGGAAAGAGACAGAGCCTCGAGTCAGAGATGAATTTACATTATGTAGGTAAATGGGTAAAGGAGGACACAGGATGGAGGGGGGGCTGCGGTAGTTGAGAAGAAGGCGATGGAGATAAAGAGCTGAGCGGACAGGGAAGATGGATGGAAGTGCAGTGAAGAGAGAGCACATGCAAAGGGAGACAGAGATAAAGGGAAAAAACAAACAAGGGGCATATTCACAGAGATTTAAAAAAAAGGCAGTTCAGGAGACTGAGGGAATTTAATGAAAGAATTCCCACTGATAGAGGAAATAAGCCCATTTCCTCGGCTGATCAAATTGAAGTTCGGGCTGCGGGCGCTGCTCCATTATTGGCAAAGGAGGAGGAGAGGAGCCTGTGCTTAGTGCTTTAACTCCTCTTTATTTCCCCGTGTCTTTGATCTGACAGCCCTGCGTCCTTACAGACAGCAGCTCCTCACACTTCTTCCTTCCTGCTCCTACAGGGATCTCACCTATTGGGAGCCAACGGGGCTAAACACACACCCACATACAGAAACAGGCACACAAAAACAGGTGCATGTTCACAATACCACGCATGCACATCCTCACATACAACATGCACTGAAACACATAAACACTGATACACACACAGGCATAACACTGCAAATGCACACTAATCCAAGATTCATCTAAGGGCAGCACAGGGAAACAGAACTTTTACTGTGTGCTGGATGGGAAATAACCGCTTTGGCATAATGAAAGTGTTTACAATAAGCTTTGCCAGCGCCTGCATTAGGGCAGGTAGACGTCAATAAAGTTAAAAGCACTTACGATTACTTATGTGGTCTGTTAGTCCACAGTGGTGGTCAGAGAAAAGGCAATGAGGGAAAATATTTTAGTCATAATAAACAAGAAGGAGAAAGAGATTTTAGTTAAATATACTCACAGGCTGACAAAGAAAGAGAGAGAGATAGATAGATATACAGTTATAATACAACAATTATGATACATGGACAATAAAGCAGTGTAATGTCTCCTGTAATGGAGCGTAGCTTTTAACCTCTGCCTCCTTGACACAGATTTGAACGCATCTCCTTTATTGATCCCCATCACTGCCTCAGTGACACTCATTGACATGGCAGAGGCTCACTAATTGAAAGGCAGGGGACACCTTGACCTTTTAAATCTTTGACCTGCTCCTTCCTTCATGCCCCTCGGCCCTCTCACCCCTGTGTCATCTCGCCCCTTCAGGGATTAGATTGGGCGATTTACTGCATCTCATTAACATTTGTAAGTTATGCGTTTGTGTGAGAGCACGTGTGTGCAATTGCTTGTTTGTACACAGGTTTTTAAATCTGTGTGGGTGGTGAAGGGCTGTGACTCACTGCAATAGTCTTAGATAAAGAGTGAACAACAACAGCAGCAGTGGAAACAATATTCTCTCTCTCTCTTTCTGTCTCTCTCCTTCTATTGGAGCTCTGTGGGCAGGCCAGTAGCAGCAGAGGAGATGAAGATCAATTTCCCTGCAGGGCCACAAGCTCAGCTATATTTCTAATGCCCACATATTGCATTGAGGAGGAGGACGAAATGAGAGCGAGTGAGGAAAAACCTTGCTGGATTTTTGTTGTACAACTCAATTGTTGATTAAATTACTGCCCAATCAGATTCTGGTTTGCACCAAGGCAACCAGATCAATAGTGGGACTAATCAATGCAGTATGAGGGGATCAATTACAAAGTAATTAGACGCACCACAGGCACAGACCTGACCAAAAAAACCTCAGACAGTGTAGTATTTCGAGCATAAAAGTGCAATCCAACCCTGAATATTGAGGTTACTGAAAGAGAAACACTCTGTTCACTCTGCTCATTTGCACTAATTAATCATGATGAAAGATCATTATTAGTGTGCTTTGATGAATCAACAATGTAATTAACACAACAAATAGATCTTTGAACCTCATGGAAGTGTTCGGCTACCATTGTTATGAATGGTGCAATATGAATCTGTACTCACAGTTGGAGGGTATGTCTATGGCTGCTTGGCTGGGCTGGGCAGCAAGGGAGAGGAGGAGGAGGAGTTGGAGGAGGTGTGAGGAGCACTGCCCCCTACTGCCAACCTGCTGTCGCTGCGTGTGAGGCATTGCTCACTGTCCCATCAAAGTCCCACCTGCTCACACACGCGTACAGTAAAATGTGCACAGAGGGCAACCTCACACACACACACACTCGTGCAGAGCAAGTGTGAGGCTATGTTTCCAGGAGGCCTCGGCTTTGCGTCGTACGTCTTTGGTCCCTCTTGTCTTCTCTCTCTTTTTTTTCCCTTCTTTAGGTCAGGTCCACGCCCTCCTGCTGGTTTCCTCTCTGAAAGATGAACGGGGGGGGGGGCAAGAGGAGAAACGAGAGGGAGGGGCAGAGGGGGCCATGTGTCAGAATGGGAGAAAAATTACCCTGCACCATGTGGTCAGACCTATACACAGACTGAGACATGGAGTTAACACACCAATCAAGATTCAACAGTCATACATCCCAACAAAAAACACCAACAATGCCTATCACTGAACCTGTTCCTGCAAAAAAAATCTCCATTTGGTTAATTACATGACCAGTGGCCCATATGGAAAGGCCAGTCAGCAGCACAGATGGACAGAATACCACAACAAGAAGCTGAACAGAGCCTCCCAGTATCCAGATGGGCAATGGACAGACAAATGCAGATTGATGAAGTGGCAAATCAGCTAATACACAAGACAGACAAACAAATAGTTGATAATAAGGTTGACCGCTCAGGGCTGCACTGCACAAACTGAATAGTTCGTAGTGTACTTGGGTGATAGCGCTGTGATAAGTGTGCAATAAAGATGCTATCAGTCATGGTGAGTGAGGCAAGCCACCCCTGCTAGGAGTCTATCCGTTCTCCATCTGTACCCTTGGATCCGGTCCTCACCACAACATGCAGGCTGTCCTCCCCCGCGGCACCACGTGGCGCAGCCCGCTGACTGTTTACACTACTCAGTATCACACACAAAGAACTGTTATAGCACACCATGATTAAGACGTACATGTGTGACAAAAGAAAATGGCGATAATAGAAAGAGGTTGCTTATTTGGCAGCTCTGCAGTAATGGCAGCCTGATTGAAAGAGTCTTGGCTCCGAACGGCACTGTTTGTTGGCAATGCCACAGCGGAGTGATGGGTGACCTTGGAGAGGAGAGGAAGGTCGGAGAGGAGAGGAGATGAAGATGACTGAGAAGAGTGGAGGGTGAGAAGAGGATGGAGAGGTGATTATTGTTCATTTTCTAGTGTGTAATGGCTGGCCAGTTAATTACTGTGGATAATTCCACTTCACTTTGAGAACAATGTATTGAACAATATCTTAGAAAGAGAAACAATAATGTGGGATTTATCTACATCAGCAGAGCCAAATTAGATTAAATTAAAGACCAAACAAGAGCTGAGCCCTTAATAAGGCAGTTTAAGCTAACAGCGTTAGGATTAAATGAGCCATTACACTAACTTACTTGCCTTGTCAGAAGAATGGCAAAACAAGCACATAAAGAGGGAGAGAAAGGAGGGGTGAAGTGGGTGGAGGACTTTAGGGGAAGATAAAGAGGAAAAGTGAGTTTGAAGAGAAGAACAGTGGAGAGAAAGAGAGGCGGAGGTGAAGGAGGAGAGCGGCATAGTGAAGGAGGGAGGGTGAGAGGTAATGGGAGGAGCGGATGGATGGGTAAGGAGGGGAGGAGGAGAGATGACAAAGGGTGACAGCTGTGACACTAATCCTATCCATCCACTTGCATACACACACATGTGTGCAAGCTCTTCCAATCAGTGTGCATCATTGTTGTTCACTTTCCTCTTGTTCCTCTTCTTCTGCTTCTTCTTTTTTTGTCCTTCTATCAGCGGCTTCGGTGGTTGTTCTCTGGAGACAAGGAGCCAATTACAGTGATCCGGCCTTAAACCGGCCTCTCCAAAATGCCATTAGAGGCAGATGAATGAAGTGGGGCTGGTCGGGGTATTAGTAGTGGCGTTAATGTGATCTAAGGTGGGAGCTTGCCTATCAGTGTTCCCTCCAAAGAGACGGTGAGGGGGAGCCGAGCAAATCTGGACGCTGATTAACGATGTGGCGGACCATAGCTTGTCATGCCGCCAATCACAATTCACCAAGGGAGTGTTTTGCATGTGCACAAGCCAGCACACACCACACACACACACACACACACACACACACACACACACACACACACACACACACACACACACACACACACACACACACCCGCTCAGAGACACACTCATGGAGAGTAACAGACATACAAAGAAGCTTGTAATGCATGGATAGACTGACAGAAAGGAAGGCAGACAGATAGACACACCTCGAGTGGTCTGACAGAAGAGATCAGACAAATCAAAGGGCATGGTCCAGTGGGTTTCAGTCAGGATGCAGACCTTGCCAAATAATATTCCAGTCATGTTGAGTAGGAGCAGTAAAGGGGAACACTATAATGGGTTGGGTGTGTAAAAGAAAGACTGCGAGTGAGAGAGAGGCTGAGACAGACAGAAAGAGAGAGGGAGAGAGAAGTGGTATGGAAGGTTTCCATGTAATGAGGCTAAGCCAGACACCACAAACATGCTGATAGCACAGACTGATGTGGCCCGACACACTAACACGCAAATGCACATATACACCCACACACACACATATGGACACACTTCCAAGCTGTGTGCACGACATGGAGCCTCATGGCGCTCCATTATCACAGGGGTGAGAGACACTGACATCGAAGCAGATGCCTGATTTCACTTCTTCAGGGTGTCCGCTGTGCAGCTGTCAGAGATCCAATCCCAGCCCTGTTACCTGCTTCATTGGACAGGGTCAAAGGTCACTCCTGGGATGGCTGCTTGCAGCTGGACTCAGATGACCCGTCACAGTGTTCCTGAGTGCTTTTAAAAACTATTATCACCGCTGGGATGTCAACGGGTGCCATCAGAAGTCGTTCAATCACACGGAGATTGTAGAGTGCAGAGCTGTGTTGAGATTTGAGGGCGTGGTCGATTCTTTTTTTTTCCACAAGAAAGCCTAACTGCAGAAAATTAGCCGCAACAGGCCATGTATCAAACGAGCCAAATCGACCAAGAAGGAGTTGCAATTTTGCAACTCCTTCAATTATTCATGAATTTCTGCTTTGAGGCGTTTTGCTTACAAAAACACGAATAACATAAACATTTTGTATTACGCTGTTAGTGTTGCTATCATTAGCAGAATTTAATTTATGCACACCATTGTGTTGTGTACCCCCCTTGTCATCCATTAGATAGAAAATTGCACCCTTCCATGCTCTGCAAAATGTAGTAATTAGGATTAAGTAGACATGTTGGGCGTTGCCAAGGACTTTTCAGTGCTGAATAGGCTCTCTGTGGAGGAGGGGGGCAACACACACAAGATCAAATCTCAAGAGTCAAATCATATTCTGAGTTTCTCGCATATTCTTATCCCCATCGTGCCAACCACCCACATACACATGAGAGACTTTTACTGTTTGCTTCATATCCTCACGTACCCGTGTGAGGAGCTGCTGCGTTGATGAATGTAGCCCGGTATATTTTCTCTCAACACAGTGAGTCATGCAATTATCAGTTCTGAATGTGCTTATCTGCACTTTGATCAGATGTGCTCTACTTGATGTGCTCTATGTGTGTATGTGTGTGTGTGTGTGTCTGTGTGTGCATGTTCAAACATGTGTGCAGGCCCTGTGTCCTGTCATGCCTTGCTTTTAAATATTAACAACCTCCAGCTGTGAAGATGTGTAGGGGGAGAGGATGCAGGACGGAAGAAAGAAGGGGGAGAAAAATAAATGAATACATGCCCCCCTTTACCCTCTACTCTTCCCCCAGGGTTCGTCTGTCTGCTGAAACATCAGGCTGAAAAGAGACGGACGGAGGGAAGGACAGAGGAATGATGGAGTGATTTAGACATAAACAAGAGAGTACTCAGTAAGACAAATGGACTGAAAGGCATTATGGCGGGGAAGGCACTGAGAGATTGTAAGGGTCAACAGATAGTCAAATTGAGGAGGGGGGTCTGAGAAACAAGGTGATGCTGGTGGGAGGTAGATGATCAGGCCCCCTACAGAGTGAATTATTCATAGAAATCCCCTTCCTGTCGGCACAATTTGCCCTAAATTCACCCAAATTCATAATTCATTTGCACCCCACGCCATACATTTGGTTTGGTTCCAGACTGATGCTGTCCATCTATACCTGGTGTCTTTGGTGTGGCTGTCTGACTCTTTCTTTCACTCCCTCCTCCCCTCTTCCTCTCTCTGGCAGGGTCATACTTAATGCATGAGCCTGTTGCAGTGAGACAAGTCTCGAACCCACTTTGTCGCTACGGCAGAAAAATACCACAAATCATGTGAAATAATACTGGATACCCGTTTACGCTCCGCTCCACATTTTGGTTCACGACACAGACATGTCTCTCATCATTCGTCGCAGTGAAGATTGCATTTCTTACAAGCTTTACTCATGTTTTCTCAAAGTGTTTCAACTTAGGAGCCGAGCCTTATAATAGGAACTGTCCAAGAACGATGAGTGCCCATTTTCCTGTCATCTTTTTATCAGTCTTCTCCTTCTCCTCTCTCAGCCCCCCTGGTAGCTGACACTAAAAGCTTTCTTCAATTCCCCTCGATCACTTTTCACAGTACATTTCCTGGTCCCTCCTCCTCTCTCCTTCTCTTCTTTCTCTATTCAACACCTTCTCTTTCCATCAATTTAATAAACTGCTGCGGTAGCACTCTGGCTTGAACAATAGGCAACATGGCTGATTAATTCAATATATGCAACTTTAATGGAAAAGGAGCTTTACTACAGCACAGTGTGAAACCAATATCGCTCTCATGCCAGTATACTCTTTGTTTAAAAGGCCAAGTAACATGTGTTTCAAGACCGATGATCCATGGTCAACTCCAAATGGAAATTTACCAGCGGAAAAAGGCTGCAAACCCACAGCTTATCTGGAATCAGGATACACAGACAGCACATTTATCAATACAACTATTAGCATAAGCTTGGCCATTAGCTACTCCCACCAGTGTCAAATGCAGTGATAGAATGCACGCCATATTTCCTACATTTTCCAAACGCCTACACCTCTTTCGAAGACCCCACCTTACCCACCCCCATTCGTTCTGTCAAGGGTTAGGGGTTAATATTGGAGTGACACAAAGCTGGAGAAAATAAAGGTTGTCAGAGGAGCCGTAAGGGCAACCGCCCACTCTCTCTCTTTCTATCTCTCTCTCTCTCTCTCCATCCTGGTTGCCATGACAACAGGGTCTCCACATAGCATCCCCCCTTGTACGTACAAA